ATATTTATGCGCATATAGAGTTATACCAGATTAAAAAAACAGAAGGCTGAGCAAAAGAGGGAAAATAAACCAGCAAGGAATCGATTTGGCGCTATTTCTACTTCCTTGATGAATTTACTCTATTTCAAACAATTACAAGCATTTGATACTCCAACGACCAAAATTCATCACTGCATTTTTTAACGGATCTTGCATTTTTAACGTTCAGCGCCATTTCTGTCATGCACGAGTCGAATAACACTCAGTGAACTTTTTTCTACAATTGCACTCCTTTTTTACAAAATCTTTCCCTGAACTGATATGTTAATCAAATATTTCAAAAAACGACAAACCCGTAAGCAGAGAAGTACCTCAATCGTCTTCTTTCGACCCTGAACCTTCTGTGTAACAATCCAGTGTTGACTATGGGCATTACTTCACCGAGGGCATTAAATAGAACGCTCGATACCCAAAAACCACGCGTTGCTCATTAGTGGATGAGAACCGGTTATCAAAAGAGTCGCCAATGTGAAAATGAATCACCACTTTCTGTACAGTTCTTGCAACGGTCATGAAACGTCGTGCAAGAAAATCCCATGTTCAGCGCATTCTTCCATAATATGACATGGTTAACTGTGTTGGCAGTAAACGGAGGTAACTGGACTGACCGAACGATAGTAGGAGGCTGCAAAGTGAGACCGTGGTCGTAGTAGCACTTACCTCATCAAGTGTCGGGTTTGAGTTCCATATGTTGCGCAGAATTTTCCTACTAATACCGTTATTTCATTTGAGCAAGGAATGCATCCCGCTGTGGTTCAGTGCAACCAGCCGAGAAACGGGCAGAGTCCTAAATAACAGTATGGCGCGTCGGGTGGCAATGGTAATGCGTGTGCGTGTCGGACATACGTATTACTCCGCATGATGCATCTACTTTAAGGCCGAAACTCGCCTTGGTCTGTTTGGTAACTGGCTAATACTCATTGCAAGTGTAATCACAAATGAAATGAAATTAAATAATATAAAAGCGTGCCGAAGGCGGTTACGAACGCTGATTTTCAGCAGTGACGATCATCCGATAAACAGTACCAGCAGTTCGAGCAACAACTCTGAGTTTGCATGCGGTCGTGTCAGGCTCGTGTCCTACTCAATGGTGCTGTGTTTCATCGAAGCACTGCCGGAGATCAAATGCCATGAGTTGTAACCTGCTTGAATTACCCCTTTATGCGACTAGAAGCTAGGGGCGATGTGACGTCTCGCATGACGCCAGGGGGCGCGCAGGAATATGGATAAGAGGCTTGGATTCGAAATCTGGACGTGCCGAGTTCAAATCTCGAAAGAGGAACAAAATTATCTTAACCCCTAATGCCACTGAGCAGTGAATTAACTCCATATAGGGGCGGTGCAACCAGTCGAGAAACTGGTAGTAGCAAATCGTGGATTTGCGAATACAAGAACAGTACAGTGTTCTTCTGAGATCATGTCAGAACGGGCGGCCATACGGCCATGCTGTCGAGATGTGAGCACCTGTTAATGTTATCATTCGCCTTGACCCACTTGATAACTGACTATAAATAATTAGTATAAAGGTGAAATCCCTGCTATGGTGGTTGTCTAATGACACGAACCGTCATTCTCTACGGCAGTACTTGTGTAAACCAACGACAATTGGTATAAACCAAATTTCTGACACGTATCGCATGATATATAACGTATGTATATGCATAATGTAAAATGTAAGGATAATAGTCATAATCATAATCACAATAGTACTGCGTATAGAAAAAACATCAATCGACAGTACAAGCAGCCCTGGCCTGCGGATGTGCCTGGTCCAACCAAACTCAGAGATG